AGATTAAAAGTCTCTGTCTCAGAGTTATCAGTAGGAACTAGATCTAATTCGAGAACAGCTCATTCTCCAAATAACTATGAGTTAAAGCATGCCTGAGGCATTGCATCCACAGTGGAAGTGTTAATTCCTTCAGCAGTGACTCTCAGACTAACTAATGTCTGCATCCAGGATGTGTTTGTCTGAAGGTTCAGAATTGTCACTGAAAACAACAAAATCTCTCGTGTTTTTGTTCTCAAATACCCGATTCTGACAGTTCCTTTGCAATCTATTTGAAATATGACATCTGATTTCCTGGAAAAATTTGCATCTGTTTTCTGACTTTCTGGTCAACATCTTGATAAATTTCCAGATGACATGATGCATTTTGGGACTCAAAGCCATTTTCTTTTCAGCTTATGGGGAATCTCTTGACTAAGCTGTTGTAGCACTACAAGCTTGAAGAGAACTGGATCTTCTTATTTTTAACACTTGTCCAACTTCTGACATTAGTAAAATTCTCCCCATTTTACAGCTTCAGAGTGTTGCCAATAAAAAGCTAATGTTTTGAGACAGAAATAGCATTTTGGAAACTTGCATTTCTCCAGTTGAAGAGATATTGCTGTTTCTGTTGTAATTGCTTTCCTTCTCTATAAATCTTCTGTTTTAAAACCTGGAAAAACTGAAAGCTTTTGAGATGGTGCTTTTTGGGTCTCATGTAGGTTACGTTTTATCTCTCATGTTCTTGTTTCTGCATTTTCCATGTTCTTTGTATGCATAACAATACCACACTGTCATTGCCAGCTTTGACAAACATGTTATGAAAGTGCTGCAAAAGTTTCTCACCTCCTATTAAAGTTTTAGATCTGTGCTCTAGGGATAGTCTAAAGTCAGCCTTTCCAGTCTCATACAGGCCATTTTCAATTAAAGTCCCTTCCAGTTTCTTTTAATTGGACATCTCTGGCACACTATCTGCTCTAACACCTGAGACAGAGATAGGCACCTTGGTTCAGGAAAGCAATTTGGATTTCTCACATCCTGGAGATGTCTCCATGGGTTTGTTGTCTGTGTGTATTTGTTGGGGGTTTTTTCTGCTCATCATTTGTGATATGTAAATGATAGATATCGGAGAAAATCAAATACTGATGTTTTCACCAGAATAGTATTGAAAGTTGGAAGCATGTAGCTTTTCTTCCTATCAAGAAGAAATCAAGGGCTGATCTTATAGTTGTAGCTTCAGGTTGATGTGGAGAAAGATGTGAAGAAGAGATTCTTTCTTAAAATTTCATAAGGCCAATCTTACTCACTGGAGGTTGGGATATGTAATTGAAAACTGGCAAAATATTTGATGAACAAATTATAACTGTTTCTCTTAGGAGATGTGTGCACTTAAAGGAGAGAAACAAGAATTTATTCATAGCTTACTGATTTTAACCAAAAATCTTTACAAGGTAAATCAAAACAGAAGCTTAATATTGGTATGACATGAAATACACAACAAAACTAAGTTTCCTCTGGCATGGCTAATATCTGATTTATTAATTAGGGAATAGAATTAGAGAGAGTATGAAGTGACAGGTCTGGAATGCAGATAACTTTTCCAAAGGACTAGCTTGTTTAAACTGGGGTCCTTTTTGACTAGATGAAGGAACTTAGTAATATACAATATACTGTGCAGTATTTTTAAATTATAGAATATTGCTGTGATTAAGTAAACATAATTTACTATTGCTATGTCACAAACTAATGCACTTAACCAATTAACTACTCCATATTTGTCAGATTATGTGCACAATACATTATTAATAAGTATATGTAAAGATGAAAAGGGGGTTTAGAGCTGTTTCTAAAGATGATGTGGCATCTTGCCTACTGTTAATCTTGTTTTTGACACACTGAGGTTTAGGCTGGAGTTAGTTTAAACAAATTCTTGTGACGATGGTTTGGTTTATGTGAACAGACTTCTCTGTAACAACTTTGATCCTTCTTAACGTTCAAGGGGTTATTAGTCTGAGATAAGCTAATAAATTGAAGAAATAATTAGGTCTTACTAAGCAGACAGATGGCAGGGTCATGTCCTTTCATACCAAGAATGCCAAAAAGCTTGTCTATCTTTCCAATTAGATTGTTTTATCTAATAATTAAAAAAAGCAAAACAAAACAAAAAAACCCAAAACAAACCAAACCAACAAACAACAAAAAGAACCTTAAATCAAACAAAAAACAGTGTAAGACTTGTTCTTTCATCTATCTGTAATCCTTGCTCTAGCAACATTTTTACCATGTTATAAAGCCTGATAAAGCTATTGGTGGGACCCTAAGCATCAAGACCAACAGAGTGTGTTGTTAAAAAAAAAAAAACCAAAACAGCCCAAAACCATCACAAAAAAAAAAAAAAAACAAACCCACACCAAAAAAAAGATTTCAGGGTTATGACAGCTCTCTTCAAAGGTTAAACTGTTTAAGCTCACCATTTTTAAGAACTAGGTCTGGTGTTAGAAGGCAAGGAAAAGAATATGGATTGATTGAGCAAATGCACAAACTACTTGAATAAGAGCAGAAAGACATTTGCATTTGTACTGGATTTGCATGTGCCAAGTTCATAAGAGGACATCAGCTGGGAGGGTGCCATAGGAAAGTTCAGAAGTAGCACTACAGATGGAGGAGAGGACAGGAAGGTTCCTGCCCTTCTCTGTGTAATGAGAGTTGAGTACAAACTGGGTTGGAAATATCTAAGCAGTACCAAAGAAGTGATACCAATTTTCTTATTGCTAAATGGAGAAGGGCAGTATATTGGGCTTTAAAATGGGATATTGTCCAGGTGCTTCCAAGTCCTTGCCAGCAATGGGATGTCAAAAGAAGGGCTGTGTGGATGAAGCATTCATAAATGCAGCAAAGAGGCTTTTTGGATGTGTCTGCTGAATGACCGACAGATGACGTGGCACTGAGGGCTTTTCTCTTTGTCTTGGTAGAAGGCAGCAGACTGCAGACCAGACCATGGAGGAAAAAACAAAACAAAACAAAACCTCACAAAAAATGTGTAACAAGGGCCAGAAAATGCTGCATCCCAAAGGGGAGGATAAAACAGTGATACCTGATCCACAGAGCACTCTTAGTCATTAGAGGATGTTCAGAGGGGAGTAAAAGGCTGCCATTGAGAGAAATATGGGAATGTCTAATCCTTCATAGCTACCATCTACAAGCATAAGAAACTGTATTCTATGTGAATTCAGGAGACTTCAAGTGCTGATAGATGTCTAATCAAATGATATTAAAGCTTTATATACCAAACTGCACCCATTTACAATCTTTGTCATGCTTTGTTCTCTATGTTGTAGTAAACTCCTCATTGTGGAACAGCTTATCAAACCTTTCAATCATTAAAATAATTCCATACTCACTTCTGAAATGTTATATAATGGCTATAAAGAAGAGAGACTATAAAAAAAGTAAAATCTTTACCTTCTTAAAATAACTCAGAATGTAAGAGAAGGCTTTGAGTTCCGTATTGTGATTCTTGTTCTCTGCCTTACTTTTGCTAATTCTGTTATTGACTAGGAATAATGGGCTCACTTTATGCTTTATCCAAATAGATTCAAGAAGCAATCTGGCTCAAGACTCAGTTTTTTGTTTTACCAGGAGATCCATTATTGGATGTCACAAGGCTCACAGTGTACTGTGAGTACTTATGGGAAGTGACATTTTTATTTGCTTTGGTCACTGCTGTTCTATGAAAAATGAGTATATCAGTGGATTTCATCCAGTTCAGCACAATGTCTCTTTCCATACCAGGCTTTGGAATAATAGTGAAGATCCTAAAATATATAAGTAGCTATGAAAGTTTGTGGACAACCACAAAGGCCATTCTCTTTCTGGGAAGGTTGCCTCTTTAGACTTCATTCAGAGTTGATGGTGAGAGACATGATTCTCTGAGGCTGAATGCAGACACATGAATTATGTTTCTGGACTGACTCTTGCTCTCTGCAGGAACCTATTTCCCTTCACTGACTATGGAGGAAGCTCGGGAGTCTTATTTCCTTATGTTAACATGAGCCTTTGAATAACTGCTGAAGACTATATAACCTTTTTCTCCTAATGAGGTCCATTAATGTAATTTAAACCTCATTAAGCTAATTGCACTCTGTTAGACTATGCATCTCTGAAATATGTTTAAAAAACATGAGGGATGTTTAACGCAGTAATGTGCTATATGAAGTACTCAATTAATATTTGAGTAAATTTTCCTTGCAGTTATGTTTGTATCTGGAGCAGTTAGTTTAACTGAAGGGATATTCCCCATAAAACATCAGTAAATTATTGTGAAGTAATTGTCTTTTTCTATCAGATATATCAGTGTTCTTTCTAGAAAAGTTAATCCTTAAAAATGATAGAAAGATGAAATTAAGTTCTTGGAATATTTTCATTCAGGGTATGGATCTCTATATCCAAGTTTTTCCATCTATCAGTACCATTTAAAACACAAATCAAAGTGCCCTGGCTTCTGGGATCCCTCTCAAGTGCATTGAGATAAATGTTGTTGTCTCCTGATGAATGACTGCTTACCACTTCGTTAAGATTACATTTCTTTAAGAGGTCTTCCAAAACAGAGGCATCCTAAACCCCTGCTCAGCCTTGGAAAAATCTTGGCAACTTTCTGAGGCTATATGACAGAAATAGCAGTGTCTGCTCCTCTGTGTTAGAAAGCTATTTGATACATTTTTGTTACTGCAAAAACTTCTCAGCTATTTGTTTCCCCAAAGAAACGTCAGGCTTCAGCCTTGAGTGAGCGCCTGCTCGAAAAGGTTGGCTTTGCTTGCTGCAGGCAGTTAGTCTTGGTGCAGGACTCATTTCTGACACCAGGAAAGGAAGGTTTGCAAAGCTGTGGGGCCTTTTGGAGGCTCTTGCCAGCAATAAGCTGGTTTTGGCAGGGCAAATCCAGTCAGCTCTGCTGTGCTTGGGGAACGAAGGAATCTCTCAAGTAGGCAGATCTTATTTCATGTAGGTTTTTGTAGGTCAGAGCTTACCTCTGGGCCCTCACGAAAGCTGTGGTTCTGACTGGGAACATACTGGGACTGTGTGTTCAGACTCCATCTGGTGAGTGAATAGGATCCCTCCTTCACCACGTTTTACTTCTGGTGCATATCTGTGATCTGGCCCACTGGGACCACTACATAGAAGTCATGCACTCTAGACATGACAGTGGGTGGAGATCAGGGTAACAAGAGGTGCAAATAAGAGTTAGTGTCTTTATTTATTGAATAAAAACAGAAATTCTTCATTTTTTTCATGTTTAAGTTACTGCTTCCCCATTCCAGATCACCTTCATTGCTATTAAAACCTTTATAAACAGTCATAGGGATCTCAAACTTTAGCAGAAGAACATCTTTTTTCCTTTATTTCTTCCATGTGTCATAGTCACTTAGCTTTGCAGATTTTAATTTTGGTCAGTGGTACAACTCTTCCTTGGGCCTGTACCCTGCGGGGCTGGTGAGGTCTGTAATGAATGGAAGTGGTGAGTTACAATGAAAGACTTTGATATCGGAGAGATAACTGTGAGAGAAGCCTGTACTAATTAGTAAAACTTGTGATTAAAGTAAGTACCGGGTGGGGAATGAAAGAAGAGGGGTTGCTGCAGCAACAAAAGCTGTGCAGGTGCTAAATATGCTGATTATAAGCTTGAACTCCTTGGAGAAAAGGGATGCTAATGACTTATTGCTGACAAAAAGTGTTTTGGAAGGAAAATTGAAGTATAAAATGTTTGGGTATGTGGTAGTGTTACTTGTGCCTTTCAAAGTGGGACACTTGCTCTCTGTTCTGCTTAGCAATGAGGGAATTTAACATTAAACTTGGAGTTTGTAACAGGAGTAGGAATCAAAGAGCAGTGAGGATAATTTTGCTTCCAAAATCAGGATGATAGACTCGTGCAGTGTTTGGTATCAATTTTTATAATGGTTGGTACATTTCCAGTGGAAAAGTGTATCTGTAAAACAAAGTTGTGTGTTTCCTGAAATGACACAGGAAATGTAAAGCTGCTCTCTAGGTTGTGGGAACGTACTGAGGAATAGATGTGGAGGATGAGCACCAGCACTGATGTGGCCAGAGATCAAAGAGAAGCAACAGGAAGGTTGCTGTCAGCCAGAATGTTGCCAAAGTTGTTTTCATCTTTAATGGTCTCTCTATTCCAAGAGCAAGGATTTTATTGTTTGTTTAAAATAAGATGTTCCTTAAATCATATATCTTTCCTGGGAGGAAGAGGTGAGGATAAACTATTGACAGTGTTTTCAGGTTACTTGGTATAGCACCAAAAATGCATCATGATTGAGCTCTAATAAAGGAAAAAGCAGTGAGGTGAAACAAACTCTGAAGGGCATGGAGGTCTGAGGAATAACACCCTAAAAGGGGGGAGGAGAAACATCAAAGCAGTTCTGAGCTGGGAAAACTGCAGGATAACATGAAGTTTTACACAGAACATTAAGAAATAGTAAGGAGATACTAAGCGTTAGTGAGACTTTTTTTGTTCCTGGTATTTTGTCAGTGAGAAGATATTCCAACAGGAGAAAAATGGCATATTGGTCAAATTATGAAAGAGAAGTGACCAGTGAGTAGGCTGGACGTTAGCTCAAGAGGTCAGGCACTCATCAGGTTTTCATCTTGAAGCTATAACTCAGGGGGAGCACTGAATACAAAATAATATTCTTTGTGAAATCTGTTTGAGAATACATTGAGAAAAACATTGAACTATGTCTCTTGTAATTCAGTCTGGCATATCCTTGAAGTAATAACATTCCCCCAAGGAGATGGAAATTGGTATGCAGATCTCCCTGTTGACTGTTGCCTCCCTGGCACCAAACAAATGAGTCTTTGTCCTCTTTGCTCTTCTTCTGACCTTACAACTCTTAGGTTCTTGGCTACAGAAGGATTTGGTTTTTTAATTCATGTACTGTTGTACAGAAGACAGAAATCAGGATGGGCATGTCAGTTGCTAAGTGCAGAAGGCTTCAACCTGAATTTTGATTTCCCTAATGTTCTTTCCTGCAGTCCCAAGATACAAATCTACGTCCAAGAGCATGGCAGTTTGATACTTGTCCTCTTGACTTCAGCAATGGTTGACTTTTAAGTATCACTTATTCAGTGTGCTGAAGAGCGAATCCTTGTGCAATGTGTAACTAAATAGTGTGAATTTTATTATTTGAACAGTATTTTCACATACTGCAGACCTTGACATCATGCCTCTGTCCTTTTGGATTCTGGCCTCAAAATGCTAGAGCTCTAACTGGTGCAATTCTTGAGTTCAGCTAGGATCTTTTTGAGGCTTTTAAAAATGCAACTTGGGTTTTCTCTCAAATATTCTTCTGCCTTTTTCTGCTAGACCTCTAAAGAAAAACATATATTTTGTAAAAGATACCCAATCTTGATTGAAATACCGCAAATGAAAGAGGGTAACACCTGGTATACTTTACCTTGGGTTTTGGTTAAATACACCTCACATTTTGTTCATTTCTTTTTGCCTGAATATATTCTAACTTCAGCTTCCAGTCCTTGAATCTTGTTATGCTTCTCTGTTCCAGTCATGCACTAAACCGTGTATGAAATCTTGCCCCAGTAATGTTATGATAGGTGCAAAGTGCCAGTCTTCTAAAGCAGAGACTACATAATATGGTAAAACACAATGAGCAACCATTTATTAAAAGAGAGATGTATCTATGCATCTCACTGTCTGATTTGAACATCCAGATGATAAAAGGAACCAGCACAATGAGGATGCCGTTTCATTCCTCCATTCTTGTTCTTCAATAATCTGAGAATTTTAATAGCATAAATATGCAATGAATCCTTCCCTCCCTCCAGTTCTTTTTATATCACAATGCGTGATGAGAAAAGATACTTTAAGTGAGGTATTTTAATATTGGCCCTTTTTCAGCTGTTGACAATTGAAAAACTTACAACAATAATAAGCTACAAAACCTGACCATGAGACAGCTTCTAAATAATTACTAGGCACAAGCTTGTTAATGTTATATTAAAGCATTATTAAAGTTAAGGGAATAAAATCATCAAGAGCTGTTTATCAGCCTGCTTATGTATCTGGAACAAGTTGGAGCAGACTGGTAAGAGGTTTTCACAGCATGTGGGAAAATGTTACAGTTCTGTCTTTGGGTGGATTGTCCCTAGCAATATTGCTTCAGCAGAGTTTTTCAAGTCTTTCCCTTCTCCTCTTCTATGTGTCCTTGTTTACATACACAAGCAGAACAGGACTTTCTGGGGGTCCTGATTCTGCAAGCTCTAAAATGCCAGCTTTCTGCAAATGTTACTGCTCTCCAAAACAAATAAATTCATCTAGTCGTTTGACTGCAGGAATCCAGACCATAGTAGATGTGGAAACAAAGAAAGATCATCTGGACAGTCAGGCAATATTGGGGGAAGAGGTTCCATGGTGTTTTGAAACATTTCCTATCCTATGAAGAAAACTCTACTTATTTAGGTTTAGAAATCAAAAGCACATCTACTATACCTGCATATGTAAATCAAGCAATCCAAAGGTAAAGCACAGGAGGCATAATTGCATATAATGTGTGGTAGAAATCAAGTACATCAGTATGTCTGCAATATTTTGTTCCCATTTCACCCAAATAAGTTGTGCTAAATAATCCTTTGAGTGACAGAAATTATACCTTTCAGTTCACATATGTATTTTAGTTAGTAAAGTCCTGCTAGATACAGCACAATATACATGCATCCGGTGACACGAATTTACAGTGCTTAACAGGAGACTTAAAATGTGATGCAGTTAACTTCACTGCAGTCAAAAGAATAGAGTAAGACAAACTGTGTAGTTGCATTGAGGGTGCCCCTCCTTTATGGAGGTTTTCATATGCATGGTTTCTCCGAACAAACAGGCTTTTTGCAAAAAGTCAAACATAGTATGGACAAACTCGGAGGCTTCAGTGGTGTTTCTGAATACAGCATAGCTACAGAGTAGAGCAAAATCTTACCAAAGTGGCTCAGTAGGTCCTCAAGAAGACTGGCCTGATTTTTTCACAAGCTTTTTATTGTTCTTTGTCCCTCTTCTTTCCTCTGGAAACCTGGATAGCCAAAAGAACCTGGAAATGCTGCTATAATTAAATATGTGGTATGTAGTGCAGTGGCCTTATTTCTGTGGGATAGGCTCTGGAATGGGATGTGTTTTCTATAGGGCACAAAGGTTACCACCCCTCGTGACAGAATTGGAGGGACAGTTGCTCAGGGGTGGCTGTGGACAGCTAATCCTCCCTCTAGAGAGATGGACAGAGGTCTCTTCTCGGCTCATGGTATTTGCAAAATTAACAGTGTGGTTTGACCATGAGGATGTTCTTCTGTTCTATTAGTTGAGTGTTAGGCCTTTCCTAATGGGAGCACATAGATTTGCATTTGTTCAACTGTTCCTTCTGCAATCTTGAGGAAGACAAGAAGATCAATGTAGCATGGGCCAAGATGGGACATCTTTATGTGAATGTATTTTTAGACCGTGTATTATGGGCACAAATGGGCAGGAAATACTGTTTAAACATATGAAAACTTTTTAACTGTGAATGTGGTCGAAGAGTGAAGAAAGCTGCCTACAGAGGTTGCAAAGCCTCCATCCTGGGAGCTATTCAAATTCGGACAGGACACAGACCTGAGTAACCTGCTCTCCCTGGCCAAGCCTTGAGCAGAGGGCTTCGACTAGACAATCTTCAGAGGTCCCTTCCAGCCTCAGGAATTCTGTGATCAGAAACTTTCCCACACCAGGAATAGCCAGTCTGCTCTGTGTTACCAGTTTGATGCCCTGTGGATAAAGAAAGGTGGAGTGAGCCAAACATAGCATGCACAGATAACCTGCAAAATTATATGTGTTGAGCATCTTTTTCTACCAGATACTTCTGTGTCTGTCCTTTAACTAATACTATTGAACCCTGTGTCCCTCTTCTCAGTATCCCAGGATGTTCCATCCTTTACAATGGCCTGATCCAAAGCCAGCTGAAGTTCATATGTTGTTTCCCACTGACTTTGGCAGACAGGGCTTCAGTTCCTAATCTAGCTTTGTTCTCTGCTGTGAGGAAATCTGGGTTGTAAAG